GGGCGGTTGGGGGCCGAGCGGCCGCGGAGGGGTTTTTCTGTCCCTCGGAAGACAAACTAGTAAAATACACTCGTTGATTATTTAAATCTTGTGAGGCGGTGGGAAGTTCATGGCCTAATGGGCTCCTCCTCGCCCACTGCTGGAGGGATGGGTTACCTGAAGCTGCTGGTGATGATGGACTTCAAGTCGTGGCGGGGGGGGCAAAGTTATCGGCCCCTTCATGAGGTTCAACTGCATCATCGGGCCCAATGGATCAGGTAGCAGGCTGGGGGACAGGGGAGGTCAGTGGGCAGCTGGTGGCCCTGCTTCTCCACTGAGGCTGTCGGAATTGAGGTTTCAGTTTCGTGGTCTTTGCCCGGTCTTTTCTGTGAACACCACAGGCATGATGGGGAGGAAGCAGTAGCAGTGCAGGTGCAGGCCCAGGAATACGGCCAGCATGGCTGCACTGAATGGGTGAGGGTGGTGATAGCTTGCCTATTGAGTAGAGTTGCAGGGGTTGGTGGAGGAGAAGTAAGAACTTACAGGCCTGCTTAAAATCTTTTCATATGCACCTGAGGAGGTGGCAGCACAAGCAAAATTTTGGAGGCTCCTGATCTGCCATTGCTTCTTCAACTGAAAGTATAGATTTTTCCAGCATGGAAGGACAAAGGTGGAGTGGTTGAAGGAATTTCCATTTCTAGTTGTCTTCTCTACTCTTTCCAGCCCTTGCAGAATGAGTGGTTTGCAAACAGCGCACCTTGCCTTTGCTACTCCAGTTCATAGTTCAGCTCACTGAAGTCACATAAAGATGGTTTTACTTTAATGCTCTGGGTTGTAAATCTAGCAATGGCAAGCTGCTTCTTGATTGGAGTCTGTGGTCTTTGCCATACAAGTAAATGCCTCTGGGAAAGAGATAGTAGCTTTGCAGGATGGTAGCTGCTTTGTGATTTGGCCCACAAGAGCCTTCGTTTGTAGATGTGACTCCACATTGTTATCCTGTGGGTGCTGGAACTTCTAAAAATTTGATTCACTTCTGAAAGCTCCATTCAACAAATGGGATTTTATCTTCTATTTGCCAGAGAACAATACGATAGTAGGTGAGGGTTGTCCTAACAAAGAGCCACAAGGGTGGGCTTAGCATTTCGTCTTAGTTTCCCCAGTCTGTTAATGATCTAGTTTATGATTTAGATGTTTAGATCCTGTTGTTTCTTCACGTATCTAATTGAAGTGAGATCTGTGAATGTAAGTAACTATTACTAGCATTATTACCATATTCTTTATCATCCTATCGCCGCTGTTCCATATTGGAAAGTCTCAAAATTATCAATACTTTTTCCAGGTACTCTTCCAGTTAAATCTGAATACATCTGAATCCAGGGAGGAAAAATTGTGAATATTGTGTGATCTCTGAATTGAGTTTTTTGTTTATCTATTTTCTGCCTAATATTCTTCCTTTTATGATATTTTGGAGAATCAGTCAAAATATTGCCGAACTAGCAAGGTTGAAGGCAGAAGGTAATTAAGCGGTCAATAGAAATGCTCAAGACTAAAAGGGAAAAACAAAAAGAGGATTCAATTAAGAGAATTTTTCTTTAAGGAGTATGATCAGAGAAGTTTGTTGCTGTGGTGAATGGATCTGGGAGAGTGCTTGTGTTCTTTAGAACACTGGAGTTCTAGTGGAAAAATTGTAGTTATGCGACAGCTTATGCAGCAAACCTCACTGACTGCATTATATAACAGAAACTGTAAAGTAAGGATTATGATGTTGCTTGCTCAGTTTAAGTGATGATCTCTAGAGATGCCTGTGCACGAAAAAATCATTCAACAAGGCTGAACAAATAACAAATCGGTTTTGTGATGATTTTTATTACAAACAGGCTTATTATCTGCTGCCAGTGTGTTACATCTTAGAAATTTATTTCTTTATTATGTGCAATATTTTTCCTCAATGAAATACAGAATTAGAAATAGAATTAATAAAGATTTTTGCATTTATGTATATGTTTTTAGTTAATTGTTAATCAAATGCCTCCTTTCATTTCTGCCATGTCAAAGCAATTTTTTAACATTTTTTTTTTTTTTAAGGAAAATCTAACATAATGGATGCTGTTAGTTTTGTGTTGTGTGAAAAGATATCTAATTTGCGAGTTAAAAGTGTTCGAGAACTTATTCATGGAGCACATGTTGGAAAACCAGTTTCTTCTACTGCTAGTGTGAAGATAGTATATTGTGAAGAAGATGGGGAGGAAAAAACATTTTCAAGAATTATCCGTGGTAGGTAGTAGATTCTGTTGCATGTACTTCCTGTTGTCTGATATATAAAAAATGGAGACCAAGAATATTCAACTTTGAATTTCAGGTGCCGAATATTCTTTTGTATTTGGGTGGATTAAGCCCATGAGTATTGCAATACTTGTTATACTCCTTCAGTAGTATTTTGGTAGCAAAGTGTTATAATTGAAAAAACATACTGGGGCAAACTTAAAAAATTAAACAAGTGATTAGTATCTGTTCTTTGCTCTGTACTTTGATCTGTAGATATTCACTTGGAATATGTAGATGGTGTAGGCTCTAGAAAATGGGGTCTGACAGCTCGCTGCAGGCATGAGCACTTAAGCATCTGTCAATACCTTTTGGAAATATGCAACTAGAATTTTCATACAGAAAAATGAAATTATTGAAATGACTAAGCGAGTAATTGAAATCTATTTTCTTCTTTGAGGAAATTGCTCAGTTAAATTGTTCCACTAGTTTAGTTCTTTTCCTATGGATTTTGTGTTGTAGCCATTTTACAGCAATTTTTTTTTTCTTTCCTCCTTTAGGTAGTTGTTCTGAATTTCTTTTCAATGATAAACCTGTCAGCCGATCTACTTACGTATCTGAGCTTGAAAAAGTAGGCATACTTGTTAAAGCTAGGAATTTTCTTATTTTTCAGGTGAGCATTTAAGGTACTTCATAAAGAAAATAAAAGCTTCTGAGATTATTTCATAGGAGTACACAGTTATCTATTTGAAAGAAAAGAGGGCACCCTTAGCTAATTTCAGTTTTTTTCCTGACCTCAACCAAGAATTACAAGACTGCAAAATGGAAATAACGGGGTTTGTATGTACCTGAGCGCATTAGTAAGAAAGAAGCTAATCTGGAAGAAATTGAGTACTTGTGTTATTCAGAGTATATAAGAAAATGTGGGTCTCTATTTATAAATGTTTAGTGTATTAAATTCTAGGAGTGTTATAAATAGGAAAAGATAATTTCATCTTAAAACACTCCTATTAGTCAAGATGCATGAAAATTTATAGGATTTTTTGTTGAGATCAAGGGATTGAAAATCCTTCTGGGTTATTAGTTCACAAGTGTTTAACAATATAGGTCAGAAATGCCATATACTTACGATGAATATATTTCACAGGATTGTCTTCCTTACAGCTGAGGAAAATTCCCAAGGAAGAACTGATCTTTCCCTTTCATAGAAGCCCTATATATGGATTCTTATTGTGGTAATAGTTTCTGTGATGAGGGCATTTGCCACTATACAAATAGAATAAAAATCATAAAACTTATTTCGTACACTTTACTGAAAATAGTAACTCCTTCAGATCAGTGAAGATTTGAACAGCTAACCCATGGACAAAAACTGTGCACCCAATAACTTTGGGAGTTATGTCTCATGTTCTACTACATTGATTTCAGCTGTTTTGCTTTTGAAATACTGGGGGGGGTTAGTTTATATTTCATTGAAAATGAGTTTCAGTTCCTTTAAAGAGTCTAAGAAGATTTAATTTTGTCATTCTGATACTGCTTACTGATTTGTGCAGATTGATTTAGTTCGAAGGTGTTTTTCATAGACCATATCTGACATTCTAAAACTTTTAGTGAAGTCATTTAATTAAGTGAGGTGGCTAGGTGATACTCCTTTTGGTACTAAACTTTTCCTTGGGTTTGAATCTAAAAGTATTTCCATCCAATTCTGTTAACCATAAATATATCTGGAGATAAATCTGTACTACGTGCTTTTAAAGAAATTCATTAGATAATATAATGATCTACAGTGCTGCATTTTTTTTGCAATTTTGTTTTAGGGAACGGTAGAATCAATTGCAATGAAAAAGCCAAAGGAGAGAACTCAACTCTTTGAACAAATCAGTAATTCATGGGAATATGCTGAAGACTATGAACGAAAAAAGAAAAAAATGCAGGAAGCAGAACAGGATGCGCAGTTTAATTATAACAAGAAAAAAAGTGTTGCAGCAGAACGCAAACAAGCAAAGATAGAGAAAGAGGAGGTAACTCAAAGTTATTCCTTTTTTGCATGTTAAGATCTCAGATTTTGCATGTTTTATGAACTTAAATACAGGTTTTCTTAAAAAAAACCCCAGACTTCTGTTATTTTTCGTCTAGTATTTTTTTCAGTATGGTATACTATATAATAATTTAGTATAATTTAAAAGGGTAGAGGAATACGTATAACAAAATCTAAATAAATGAAAGTGTAGTTTTGCCAGTATAATCACTTTAAGTGTTGACTTACATGTTTTGAGTTTTATGATTAGTGCACATTACTGGAATTACAGCTGCTGGTACAACACCTTACATCACTTTGGACTTGACATTAGACTGCTAATGAGTAAAAATCCTTTTTATAAACCACAAATAAAATTTAAATGTTGGTAGGCAGAACATTACCAGATGCTTCTCAAGGAACTGGATGAAGAAAGGATACAGCTGCAGCTTTTCCGACTTTATCACAACGAAAAAAACATTGACTTTGTGAAAAAAAGTTTGGATGAAAAGAATATGGAGGCTAGTATCAAGAAACAGTCTCTCTCTACAGCAGAAGATGCATTTAGAGCCAAGAAAAAAGTGCTTGGTGTACTAAACAGAGACCAACAGCACATGGAAAGAGAAATGAAGTAGGTTTTCCAATCAGATTCTCTGATAGTTGAGTTAAAGCATAGTCTGTACTGGGAATTGCTTGGCAGGCATGCATTTCCTGTTAAAGCAGTTGGGTGATATCCCAACGCTATGGAAGTCAGTTTGTAGTAGTTTATTGAAGTAGTATCTAGACACTGATTTCACCTCCACCACCATGCCCAGGTTGTCAGTAATTTCATTATATAAATACTTGTTTGCTATTAAATTTTTTAGAAGGTTATGCTTCACTTCTTAAATTTCTATTCTCAGTGGATATTTTTAAAAAAAAAAAATCACCTGTGGATATGTAACCTTGCAGTTGACACCTGATTATTTCTTTGCATGTGTGGTTGGGAGGGGGTTGTTTTTTCTTTTTTGGTGTGGTTTTGTTATTTTGGATGTGTTTTGTGGTTGTTGGTTGGTTGGGTTTGTTCATTTTGGGTTTGTTTTTTGTTTTTTTAGGACTTTGGAAGCATCACTGATTCAGCAGAGAGCCCTCTATATAAAAGCAAAGGAAAACACTTCCTACCAAATCAAGAAAGTAGAAATGTCTAAAAAATCTCTAAGGGACAAGGAGAAATCCTGTGATAAGGAAAAGCAGAACATAAAAGAACTAGAGATAGAATTGAATGATATTGAGAACGCGTGGAGAGCGTTTGAGAAGAAAGCTGAAGAGATATTGCAGAGAGCAGCAGCTATTGAGCTGGAAGAAAGTCAGGTGAATTGGGAGGCCAAAAAGTACTGTTTAGTAGTGAAGTCCAAAAATGCCCACTGATGACAGAGAAACCATTGTTTCACCAATAACCTCTAGTTCTAATGATCTTTTTGCTGTTAAGGTCAAACAAAAAGAAAACTGTAACTTTTATTTAGAGACTGTTTCATCGGATGAAGAGAAATGATGCAGCCTCTTGGGAGAGTGGGCTGTCTCCTTTCTGGGGAGGGGAGTCAGATCTCACAGAAATTCTAAATGTGGAACACTTTTAGGAAGTAAATCTAAATTGCATAGAGATGTAGAAATTCACCATTGTGAGATTGGAAATGGTAAACATCTCTCCTAGGGTGTGAAGTACATCTTCTAATCAATGTGAGAAGATATCTTAATAGAAGAAGCATTGAATTTTCAGTGAACAAGAAGTTGAGAAGAGTTTCAGAAGGGTTGTACACAGGGTCTGTCATCTGTGGGTTGGGATTATAGCTACATGTAATTTTCTGTGGTTAGGTTGTTCTCTCTGTTTTGTTTTTTTTTTATTTCCCGTCTTCATGGAAGTCCACATGGTACATTGTGGGAACGTAGGATAGAAAACATCCAGTAGGGTCTAAGGGTGAGAAGGTAATTTTTGAGAAATGGCTTGTCAGCTGAGGTACGGAAATATGTCTTCAATTAGGAAAAAACAAGACGACAAAACAAAAACCCAAACAAGACTTAGTAGTATACATACCATCTACTGTGGGTCAGAATCTAAAACTGAGGTAGCTCACTTGTGAGCTATTTTAAGCTATTTTAGAAGGAAGGGACTGCATCATTTTACAGTAAATTCACATTTGAAGAAGCTATCTTTGCAACCATATGGCCAGAAACACTTTTAAACCTAAGTGCTAGCTTCTTTTCTCCACTGTCTCTTCCTTAAAATAGTTCCTGATCAGTTAATGGAGAACCTGCAGGGTTTTTCTTTTAGTTTGTGAATCTTCCTACTCTGCACTTTAGAGGCATTTTGTCAGTTAGTCATAACTTTGCAGGATTGTTTAAAATGTTTATCTTTACCTTAAAAAAAAAAATTTGATAATATGAGAATACTGTAATTATAAATACCAAAACTTGCACTAATTTTGGGCTGTGCAAAAACTTAGTGTTAACCTTAAGATTGACTGTGAAGTACTGTCAACTTTATAAACTTTCCTGAAAAATAAGAATCATTAGAAGTCTAAAACAAGCCCATAGCTATTAAGTGTAAGCTTTGGATTGAATCTTTCTCTAATGAAATATAACTAGTTAGTAGCTAGAAGGGTCTTTTGGAGAATTGGGTGGTTTTCATAATCGTAATTATGATAAAGTAGGCAATTACTAATTGAGGCTGTAACAACTTGAGTCTTCCCACTTTCAGTGGAGTGAATTTTTTTGTTATTTGTGCAGTTGGAGCGCTATAAAGAGCTAAAGGAAGTAGCAAGAAAAAAAGTAGCTACACTAACCCAGCAGCTAGAAAAACTTCGTTGGGAGGAAAAAGCAGATCAAGAAAGGCTGAAACTTAATCGGAGGAAGAAAAAAGAAGTTGAGGTATTTGTATCAAGCTAGAATTATGTTTTAAGGAGAAAATTGTTTCTCTACCTCTCCCTTTGATACAAATGTCTATATAAATGTGTTAAATTCTTTGACATAAACAAATCCTCAGTAAAGGAGATACATTGCAAGTGTTAGTTCAGCTTTCATATTCCGACAGGTTTAGCAAAATGGCTTCTAAATTTGTTCAGAGAATGGTTGCGTGGGCCCGCACAGGATTTGGTTTTGAAAGCTTTGGCTCTAATATTTTACAGTTACTCAGAACATGCTTAACTGTAATCAGTTCCTAGTTTTGTAAGTGTAGTTTTTCTTTCTGAGATGTCCTACTGCTGTTGTATATCTCTATGATACTCACACCTTTTAGAGGTTTATTTTGATCACAGCTACCTTCTGCTGAGATGTTTTTAAGGTCAGTTGTGTGTATGAGTGTGTTGTAGTTGGAAAAATCTCCTTGGTGTCCACTTTTCTATTGCACTTCAGAGGCAGGGTGTTTGGTGTGAACACAGATCATTGCTGTCATTTTGTTTCCGATTTCTTCTATCATTGCAGATCCAAACATGTAACAATAAAATACCTACATTTTTCACTATGACTTGGTCACCATGCCTGATGTTCTCTTTTAGAAAAATTATTTCCCAACTCGTTCAACTTCGCATGATGCTTCTGGTAGAAGTAGAAAGGGCAGAAGCTCAGCTGACAGTCTGTCTTTTGCTGGAAATCTTGCAGCAAAAGGGGTTTTTTGCCTTTTTTTTGGCTTGTTTGTTTGTTTTCCAAACTATGGTAACCTTGCAGTTTTGTCACCTACTGAGAAGTTAGAGAGGCAATGCATTTCTTCACCATTTGGTTATGGAGTCAAGGTTTGGAGGAGACTTCTTATATTCAGAAAACTTAAAAATCCATCAGATGAGATTTTACCAGTTCTAGAGTTCCTGACACCTCATTCTTGTATATATAAACTTGCTTGCATGGAAGAGTCTGTATTTCACTATATATCTGTGAGGATGTAAAGTCATCCTTGCCATTATATCTAAGTTAATACTTGTACATCCATTTGCTCTTGATACAATGCTACTTTTTCTTCTTGAAGTACTAATTACCAGGAGAACCTAATTAGTATCTAGAAGTGAAATAAATTCTATTGCTTGTGCTTCTGAAACTCTGCAAGTCCCATTGTACTGTTGGGAAGGAAATAAGGGATACTTGAGAGTTCATGAAATGCATGTCTGACAATTCAGAGTTGGCATTACTTATTTGTACTACTGACATTTGGTGATCACTCCTCACAATTCAGTGTCTATGTGACCACATCTAGCATGCTCTGTCCAGTTCTGGGCTCTCCAGTACAGGGAGGACACTGGCATCCTGCAGTGAGTCAGGCAGAGAGCCACCAAGCTGGCTGGGGCTGGAGCACTTGGCTTAGGAGAGACTGAGAGAACTGGGTCTGTTCAGCCTGGAGAAGGAGAGGTGAAGGGGAGACCTTATTGCTGTCTGCAGTTACCTAATGGGAGGGTATGAATAAGGTAGAGCCACAGTCTTTCTAGAGGTGCACAGTGATAGGATGGGAGACAACAGGCACAACTTGTAATGTGGGAAATTCCAAATTGTTATTAGGTAAACTATTTCATCTCAGGGATAGTCAAATATTGAAGTGGGTGCACAAAGAGGTTGTGGACTCTCCATCCCTAGAGCTATTCAAAAAGTCACAAGGATTTCAGAAGTTAAATTAAGGGTTAATAAAACATGTGGGTAACAATATTTTTTTTTCTTTAATTTGCTTTAGTTAACGTACTTTTATTCAATTTGAGTAATTGAAAATACTTGTTTCTCTGTTGGTTTGGTTTTTAGTACAGTGCTTTTGTGTCAAGTTGGAACCTCTGTGTCAACTTCTTTGTGTGTCCTTCTTAGGATAAAGCTTCTATTAATCTCGGGCCAAGAAAAACACCTTTTTTGTTTTAATACCTGTAATTTACTAACACTATGTTTAAAGTTGTTTGATTTGATGGTGTCATGATTCTTTGTGCTGAAGAGGCTTTCTCTGAACTGTAGCCGAATGTGAAAAATACAGTAATGGCCTTGATAAAATAATTTTCCTTTCTTATTCATGGTGCAGTTTGGCATCTAGTGTTGAAAAAGAGATGCCATTACTTCAGCATGAATTACCAACAAGGAAGAAAAGATCTGTCTCAGTGCTTGTTCTGAATTAAGAGCTTTATATCTTGCTATAAAACTGTCGTTTTCCTCTGGTTTGTTTTTAACACATTCTATTTGTGATTGCATAGGAAAACATAAAACACACTGTGGAACAGATAGAAGAGCATAAAAAACGAATAGAGAAGTTGGAAGAATATGCTAAGATATGCAGGTATGTTTAAAAAATTAAAAGCTAATTGGATTTCTTGCATATTATGTATTTTCAAATTAACATAGTAGGTTTCTAATTCTTTCTAATGCTTTTCTATTATTTCAAATTTTAGTAAGAATTAGAATTCTTACTAATTATAATTAATATTTCAGTTACTTTAGCTGTCAAAATAAAGTACGAAGTATGATCCTATGAATACTCATCCATATTTTGTTTGAAACCAGTTTTATAATTGCTTCTAACTTTTTGTAGGTGTGCAAATTATGTCACTACGGATGGGGTACAGGTCTATTAGTGTACAAATTCTGAGTGAGAGGACAGGGCGGTTCTCTAGTGCTGCTCTAAAAAGCATTAGTATTTACATTGTATATTAGGAGCACAGCTCAGTTCTTGCTTCCTGGGTCTCATCTTCTACCTGATTTTTACTCTTTGTGAAATAAGTTATATAAGCCCTTCACTGAGCAACTGGAACTAACTTTGACATTAGCCTGTGTTTTGCGCAGGAGGTCAGAGGAGGTGATTCCAGAGAGCTTTTCCCAACCTATCTTTTCCTATGCATCTGTAATATGTGCTTTGGCTTAATGCTGTCTGTGTACTCAACAGAGTTCTGCAATGGACAGGGAGCCGCAGACCCATTGTGATTGATTGGTGTGATGCAAAATTATTTCAATTATGTAGTTGTAGTAGAGTGTGGTAGAGCCTTAGAGACTTTGGTAAGTGTGCAAAGTGAGTCATAATTTTGCATGAGAATTCTCAGTCCTTAGTTTTACAATATCAAACCTTTTATTGATGGAGGATAAAACAGTATGATTGCATGTTACACAGGCAAAAACTCTCCCTTGAACTCAATTCTGAAACCTTAAAAATATCTTATACTATAGAATGCAACTTGTATAAGAAGTAGCTTCTTATAGATACTTAAAATCTTTAATGATTTTCATAGTCTGTGACCACAGAATGACTTCAATTTTACAAGCTCAAAGCTTGTATAAATGAAATAGTAAATTGTTTTCCTATTTTTGCTTCCGTTCAAAGTGAGTCATTAGCAGAGAAAAAACAGCAAGAGGAAGTGCTAACTAAGGAAATTGAAAATTCAACAATACGAATGACTGAAGTGAATGAAGAATTGAACAAAATAATTGGTGAACTGCAGAATGCCAAAATTGATTACCATGAAGGAAGGCGTCAGCAAATGAGAGCAGAGATCCTGGAAAGTCTCAAAAGACTATATCCGGATTCTGTGGTAATTGAATGGCCTTATTTAAATGCCTTATTTTAGAATTAAGATTTAAGAGTTCTGCCTTAGACTGAGTAAGCAGCTAGAGTCCTGAATATTACTTTAAACTTTGTGTTTCCTTGAGTGTACTTGGTGAAATAGTATTACTGAAAGAATAGTGGCATATGCTGTCATTATTTTTCACAGTTTCCAGAAATAGACAGATTAATTCTTGCATCAAAGAATAATTTTGATCTCTTGTGTGATTTTGTGGTGTTTGAATTTTTTTTTTTTTTTGGTTTTGTTTTCTTCTGTCCTCAAACATATTTTTGACTTCGTTATTTTGAACAAATGAATGGGAAGTTTAGCTGTGAGACCATTTATTCCAGAAAGAATACTTCCTCCAAAGGTCAATTTTGCTTAGGTGCATGAGATGTTTATGTTACCAAATGATCTGTCTTTGCTTATCAGTTACCATATTTTACTTAAATTACTCTTCAGTAGTGCCATTAAGTGTTTTGTGTATTGATTCTGGATTGTCAGCAGAGCAGATGTTGACTGTTTTATGAGGCATATTTACACCTTTTTATTGGCACTTAAAAATATTTACTCCAACACCGGAAACCATTCCAAATAAGAACTTTTAAATAAATCTGATCAATTGAATAGTTGGTCTCTGAGTATGGCTCAATCAATCAATCCTTTTTGTTATACATAGTTGAGATGTACAAGCTGGGAATCTTTTTTGTTTTGTTTTGTTTTTTTTAATTTTTTAAATGTTTAAAAGGTGACATATCTCTGCTTCCTAGTGCTACCATTAGAACATAAAAAATAAAATGTTTTCATTTGTTCTTTGCTTCTTGATCTTTTGCAAAACCTCCTCAGAATCTGGCAAGTGTCTGATCCTGTTGTTTTAACAAGAGATGAAGAAATTTGCTTTTCAGCCATTCTTCAGAACTTTTTCATCCATATTAACAAGATGTTACCCATCATCTTTCTGTTTTTTTTTTTCAATATCTCTGTTTGCTCACTCTTTGCATTGTATCCCTATTTGAAAAGAAGTGGATCAGACTGGTGATACTGTTCTGGCATTAACAAGGTGTTACCCATCATCTTTCTGGTTTTTTTTTTTTGAATATCTCTTTTTGCTCACTCTTTGCATTGTATCCCTATTTGAAAAGAAGTGGATCAGACTGGTGATACTGTTCTGGCTTAGGGGAGAGCTGGTGTTCAGGATGTTCTCTGTCATTTTCCTTCAGGAGCTGCAAATTTAAGAGTACTTACAGATGTAATGGATTCTAACAAATAAAAACTAAATAAGTCAAATTGGTTGCATAAACTATCCCATTACAGGAGGTCTTAATGGTATCTGCTTCAGTTACCCTTGTTCTTGAATCGTTTTCCCAACACCAGCATATGAGGCACCAGAGTTGCTTCTGAGCTGCTTCTTACTCTCTGGTGTACTAATTCCAGTTTACTGAACAAAACCCAAATTAAAGTCTCCGGATGGAAAGGTCATGACACATTTCGTCATCTGGTAGTCCACTAAGCACTCAGAACTGGAGGAAATCTTGGTGTCGGTCTTCTGGTTTTCATAGGCAAAAAATGGCATACTGCTTCTAAATGTTTACTTCTTACATCCATTTTCAAGCTTCTGTTCTTCTGTTAAAACATTCTTGTAATGGTTGGTGAACATTCCAGATACTGGAATAGCCATGCAGCAGTGTGATTCCCACTGTATGAGTGACGTGTGCATTTTCATGGGTTTGTCTGATCAACAAAGTAAATTTTGCAGTTGATTACAGTTTTTACAATTTGATTTTCAAAACGGCGTTCCTGCATTGGTAGTTTTATTGGCAAGATTGCTATTGTTACAGATTCAGTCGGGCTGTCAATATTTGTTTTCACAGAAATCTGGCATTCCTTCTGGACTTACATGCCTCTGTCTGAAAGTATATAGATCCTCTGTATAGTTTTGCATGTCTGAAACATCATGTGTCTGAGCTGCAGATAGAAACATCCAAGTAGGTGACACTGTGTGAGAAAACCAGGAAACTAAATAAACATCTTTGTGGTGTTGGGTGTTATCCTTGCTTCTACTGTTTTTCAGAAAAAGGAAAACATTTGCCAAGGGAAGGGTAGGAAAGTAGATCATAGTAGGCCGTGGTTTGATCTACTGGAAATTATCTCAATTATATCACTCATGAGATAATACTGTGGATGACTATCACAAACAACTCTTAGCAGTTATCTTCCTGTTCTCATTTGTTTAAATTTCATACGGATAGAACTGTAGATATGCAAGAGGAGACCAGTAGCTATATGTCAACAAGCAGAAAAATTGTTCTTGCATGAATTCACAGGTTATAATGTTCAGAGTGTGCATTAGTAGCTTTAATCATTGTGCTGGTTTTGGCTGGGATGGAGTTAGTTTTATTCATAGTAGCTAGTATGGGCTGTGTTTTGGATTTGTGCTGAAAACTGTTGATAATACAGAGATGTTTTCGTTACGGCTGAGAAGTGCTTACACAGAGTCAAGGCCTTTTCAGCTTCTCGTGCTCTACTGACTGAGAAGGCTGGAGATGCACAAAAAGCCGGGAGGGGGCACAGCCAGGACAGCTGACCCAGACTGGCCAATGGAATATTCCATACCATATGATGTCATGCTCAGTTTATGAACTAGGGGAAAGCTGGCTGGAGGGTTGCTGCTCAGGGACTGGCTGCGCGTCGGTCGGTTGGTGGTGGGCAGTGGTTTTTTTTTTTT